GCGGTGTTTTGACCCGCGACTATGCCGCCTCACAGTCACCCAGTCGCCCTGCTGCGGAGGCTCTGTAATCGGAACCGAACAATGTACAGGACTCCCTGAGCTAGTCGCATCCAAAGCTTTATCTACAACCCTCACATTCTTACTGTCCTCAATTAAAGTTTGGATGCGTGTCTCTAGTTCTGAAATCTTCTGTCAGCCTAATTATTTCCCTGCATTTATCACATGTGAATCCCTCGTCGCCGACAGAGAGAGATAAACTGTACATGTGGCAAGCGGTGCAAACAACAATAGCAGGAGAAGAAGACATTACTCACAGTGATTGATGAATGATTCTGACTTACTGCTGTTGTTTGATGAACTCGTGAAAAATGGAGTGAGAGAGAAAAGAAAACAGTAATAAACGCAAATAGAAACGCGAATGGGAAACAATGGTTGAATTGTTGGTGAATATCCTTATCTGAATTTTCAGTAGAATTTGATATTTTTATTTTTATTCTTTAAAAAATGGGCACAGTTTAATGCAAACTCGTTTTTATCAACAGTATCAGTTTCCTGCTGTTTTATTTTTTCCATAAGCCAGCCGAAAAACATTCTCTCAGCTGCTTTGTTTTGGTTGGACTGCTGCTCCTTGTCAACAGTCATAAAAGGAGAGTTCTTATGGGTTCATTGTTTCAGTTCTAGGCAAGCTGTTTAAAGCACGTTCTGATCCTGGCTGGCATGTTTTATCTCAGGGTGTGGCACTGGGGGGCTTGAGGGGGTGGAAGGTTGTAGGTGTCAGGCTTTCAGGTGTTTTGCCCCACCCGGAGGTAAGGACTGGCAGTTCGCCCTAAATCATGCAACTTGCATGTTGTCAGTACATGTCAAGAGGTGCAAACTTTTGAGGTCAGTGATGTCAAACCGTGTTGATGCCAAGGTCATATTTGAACGTATTTTGTTAGAATTATTTGGTTTGTTTAATTGCAGTAATATTTATTCATGTCTTTCATCAAATTCCTAATAATCCTACCACTTCCTGTTGTAGCTGTCTCTCTCGTGAGCTGTCAGGACAGGTGAACACGGGTGTGGTTTTCACACTCCAGTACAGTGCAGCATAGTACTGATAGATGGGCTGTGTTCTTTTTCCATGTTATGATGAATATCCTGTCCCTGTGGCTATGCTTTAATCACTGCTCAGACATGATCCTCATTCCCTTGTACATCTGAGTTGGTCTTGCTGCTATCTTTCTTGTAGCACATTTTGTACAAATTAACTAAGATCAGTGTCTTAACCGTCAACAAAGGACTTTTACATTTATTTGACTTCTTGGAATGTGAAGGAAAACCGATCGAGGAGCTGAAAATGGCACATCTCCAAGTGCTTCTTGGAGTCTGGTTGTCAAAAATCACCCTCTAGCTCTAGAAACTCACACTCGCACAAAGACTTTATTCATTCTTAGTGTCTCACAACACTTGGAGCAAAGAGGCAGTTTTTGTCTTGTTTTGTACTGCACATTTTGCATTTAAAATGGACCCAAGTGGGCTTAAAATTGAGTTCGTTCATTTAGCAATATCATACATGCATTTAATATCAGTAATGATGGAAAAATAATGATTCCCTTTTCTGTTTGTAGGAAAAGATCTTTAAACTTTACGAGCGGAAGCTTCACGGAGACTTTGATACAAACAGCCATATTCAAAAGAAGAAAGAGTTTCGCAATCCAAGGTCTGGAGATAAGAAGTGTTTATGACCCACAATGTACCAGACATAACCTGAAGTAAATTAACTTTTGATATTGTTTTATTTGTTTGCAACCTAACCTTGTGTTTGTGTTTATAGTATTTATGAGAAGCTTATCCAGTTCTGTGGTATTGACGAACTTGGAACCAATTATCCAAAAGTAGGTGGTAATGCTTACCTGTTAATACCACATAAATACATGTTATTCTGTTAAGAGAGAAAAAAATTTGTGTTTACTTCTCCACAGGACATGTTTGATCCCCATGGCTGGTCAGAGGATTCATATTATGAGGCACTAGGTAAGTTTAGCTCTAAATTATGTTTGACGTTTAAACTCATATGGATTGAATTGACTACATCTGTTAACTATTTGTGTGCTGTCCTCTCCACAGCCAAAGCTCAGAAAGTGGAGATGGACAAGCTGGAAAAAGCTAAAAAGGAAAAGACCAAGGTTAGAACCCTGAGGCACCCCACTTATTAAAAAGAAATAAAAATAATATTACAACATTTGTTTGTACTGTCTGGGCCACAACATCACTAATTGTTAATGTGTGTTCTTTTTTTCTTTTTTTTACCAATGTGTCTGTAGATTGAATTTGTGACGGCCACCAAAAAAGGTACCACTACTAATGCAGCGGCTTTGGCCACGAACGCAACTACCTCTTCCACAGGTACACTACAAGTGTGTTTGATGCAAATAATGAGGACTTGAGGGTTTAATGCTGATTTAAAATAAGAAAATTATAACAAGATAAATTACTCTCTTATGATAATAGCGTTCAATAATAATACGAAAATTGTATTGTTTTTACTATTGTTATTTTATTGTTTTAATTATTAAATATAATTATAATTATTATTATATAAGATATATATATATAATTATGAAAATTTAAATATATTTTAATAATATATTTAATCTGTATGTAAATTGTCTATGTAAATTATTGAGTCTCTTTTATAAGTAATGAAATATTAAATGTAATTATATGCAAGACAATATTTAGGTGGTACTAGTTCCTAAAAACAGTGGTGTAAGTAAAAATTATACTGACAACCTATCAAATCAACTAAATCTACGAAATCAAGTACTAAACTGGACCAAATGAGATCTATTGCATTTTCTTGTTCAAATCTTACTTTATTTATATTTAATTTTTGGGAATTTTGGTTGACATAAAGTGGTCTTTTATAAAGAACTTAAAGAGGCTATATGTAATTTTTATATATGTACATTTTCATGTATTAATCACTTTTGTATTGCCAATGTGTGAACAGCTAGTAATGAAACTAAAAAAAAAAACAAGACATTCCCCAATTTCCCAGTTTGTCAATTAAATCCTGTCCTGACTCATTTTTATGTGAAGGTCTCAGGACATTTTTGCCAGGAAATTCAAAAGGATGTGACGTTTATGCATGCTTATAATAACAAATTTACTGTTAGTGCTAGTTGAATTAATTTGGAGTTTGATGACCTAGCAGATGCTCAGAAGAGGAAGAGCAAGTGGGACTCCGCAGTACCAGTGACCCTGGCACAACCCGCCCTCCTCACCACCACTGCCACCCTCCCTGGAGTCGTCTCTGTGACCACAACAGCCAGCGGCACCAAGACCACAGTCATCTCTGCAGTGGGAACCATTCTCAAAAAAGCTAAGCAATGACACAAAAAAAGGCAGGGGGATTTCACTTCAGTTTGCCAGATTGATAGTTAATGGCCATTGCACATGTAAACGTAATAAGTTCTGCTGTTTTTGCTTGAGCAACAGTTGGTTTTAACGGTCTGGCAACTGGAATAGATGGTGTTTTCTCTTTTTCAGAAAGTGGAAAATTCTGGATATAGCTTGTATTAGACATCTCTGTTTTCGGTTTTGACTAGCTGTTTCAAATGCATTCATCTGATGGCTGATTCTTTGATTTAAACTGGTTGTCTTTGCTCAGATGGTTTCCATTGAATTCATGATTCTTGTATGTAAAAACGATCCTGCAGCTGTCATACGTGTCCGTTGCAGTAAAGTCATCTGAACTTTCATGTCCAACGTAAGAAAACTGAAACCTGCAATAATTTATTGCTTATCAGTAAATTAGATTTTTCTTTTCAATAATCATTCAATGTTTGATAGATGCCCAGTCCAGTCTGTCTACTATTTGTGTTTCCATTTTCATGTTTTGGATCGGTCATGTCACACAGAACATTAATTAAACATCACCCGAGGATTCATTCAGTATCTTATTATAACAATGACTAATCAGGGCTATCTGACTGTATTATTGCATTTATTATAAGACACAAAGGGTCTTATATTTTGGTGCAAGTTCATTTTTAACGTTTTTTTCTGTCATTTCTATCTTTTTATTTCATTTTAGCAATGCAAGTAGTTTTTTTTTAAACATGTATATATTAAAATGACTGGCTTCTCTATAGCTCAGCAGTGTAGAAATAAATGTTTTTTGTATAATTGCAAATCTGTTGAATTTTGTTTCATTAATCACTCTGCTTTCTTTGTTTAATTCTGAAATCTGAAAGGGTCTGACTCTGGGATGAAAAAACACAGCCGTAGGATGTGATGTCAGGTAGTGTTGAGGAATGTGTTTCAGGTTCTGAATATGGAAGATGGTGTGTGTTTACTACATGGATCACTGATTTATATTCACCCGATACCTTTTTTTAATTTTGAACTTGAGCCATCCAAACTTTCATTCAAGCTAAGCAATGCTGGGCAGTGAGGTTCATTGCTGGCATTTTCCCTTGGTCATATTTAAAACCATCTGCTGGGAATATGGTTGTGCAGCCTAGTGGTTATAGATCTGGGCTTGGTAATCAAAAGGTTGTGGGTTCAAACCTACTACCCTTGATCTAGACACTTTTATTTAAATGGCGGTCATTTGAAACTGTAAATTGTTTATCTACTCTACTATTCAAAAGTTCGGTGTTTGTAGTATATTTTTGTTTTTTGAAAGAAGCATCTTTTGTTCGACATAAGTGTCTTGTGTTTATTTAATCAAAATGCAGTACTAATAACAGTAGTATTGTGAAATATTACAATTTAACATAATTATTATAATTAAATATGATTATTATCAGTTAAAAACAGTTCTACTGGTTATTTTTGTGGATATTTTCAGGATTCTTTGATGAATAGAAAGTTAAAAAGAACAGCATGTATTTGAAATAGTTACACTGTATAAGTCTTTACTGTCACTTTTGATAAATTTAATGCATCATTGATGAATAAACATTAATTTCTTTAAAAAAACATTAAAGTTTTGAATGCTGTTGAATTCCCCAATTTACCACTTTAAATGGCTCGTCTTACCTGTAATATGTTGGATGATTTTTTTAATTAAATATTATAATATTTAAATATATATACACTCTAAAAAATGCTGAGTTAAAAACAACCCTTTCAGGGACAGTCAACCTACTGAATGTTTTTCATTTAAAAAAAAAAAAAATGCACTCTAAAATCTGATTTGTGTGTATATATAGGACAAGAACAGTTCATATACAGTATTTTTAATTCAATGACAAGTCAGTCTTTTACAATCAGAAAATACTCAAAAACATATAGTAAACTTCTTAGGACGTGACAATCTTATATATTCATGATTGAAAAGTTACACCAAATACAGCTTTACCTCGTGCCATCTGGTCTGTAGACATTTACAGTTGTGGTCAAAATTTTACGTACACTTTGTAGTATCTGCAAAACGTTAATTATTTTACCAAAATAAAAGGGATCATACAAAATGCATGTTATTTTTTATTTAGTACTTTATTTAGGACTTGAATAAGATATTTCACATAAAATATGTTTACATACAGTCCACAAGAGAAAATGTTTACATATAGTCCACAAGAGAAAATAGTAGTTGCATTTATAAAAATGACCCTGTTCAAATGTTTCTTAAAAGTTCTTAATGCTGTGTTGTTACCTGGATGATCCACAGCTTTTTTTTTTTAAATAGTTGTTCATGAGTCTTTGTCCTGAATTTCATTCAGAAAGTTTCCCCTCAGGAAGTTTTCTGTCATGGCAGAACATTGACCATTGGTCTTTGACAAATGTATCGGTTTTTAACCGGTTTGGCACAGATTACCCAGCAACCTAAGTATTTACTATAATATAGTATATATAATATAGTATGATACTATAATATATAAAATACTATAACATAGTTAAGTACATTTGTTTCAACTCTTTTGTCATTACTTCCTGCCTAGAGGGCAAGTTCCGGTGGCACATCTTACCCCACTCTTTTGTACTGGCCTGCCAAGATGGTATTTTTCATCCAATGCAAGACTTCATGGTTATAACAAATGGAGCTTTCTTTATTATTTGACTTTTGCATGGCCTCAGGTAAGAACACTGACGCACAGAAGTTAAGTTTGCCAGCAGAGATTGTGCGAGTGCAGTATGTGCTGACTGTGCGTCAGGGTGACTCAGATTGAAGACACACCCTGTACAGGCCCTGACTCCACTGATCTTCTGTGAATCCGGCCACGAAGGTTTACTCATGCAGTGCACATAATTGTAATGTTGCTACCAAGTATTTAAACATGCATAGTGATTCAGTGAATAAACCCAGAGCTTGACCATATATATATATTTTTTTTACCTTCCTGTGTTAGTTGTCAGGGAAGAATTTATGAACTCACAATTTTTGTCTATTTGTTTTTATAATTTAGATTATTGTTGTTATTATTACAATAAATTATTACAACAATACAACACTGATAACGGTGCTTCTTGAGAAGCAAAATGGCATGTTAGAATGATTTCTGAAGGATCATGTGACACTGAAGAGTAATGACTGCTGAAAATTCATATATATATATATATACATATATAAATATATTTATATGTATACAGTATGTGTGTGTGCGCGCGTGTATAGTATTTTCACAAAAAAACTGGTTTTAAGCCAGTTATTTCTATCTTTTTTGTGGTGTCAGTAGGAAATATCTACTGACAAGCAAGTTCCTGCTGGCAGGAGCAGCAGCAATAATCTACAACTACAGCAATAACCAACAGCAGCAGCAGTAGCATAGCAGATATATTCCGCCAAGACCAAATACATTAACATCGTCATATCCATTACCAGGCTAAAATCTTCAGAGAGTTCAGGATAGAATTGTAATAATCCAGTGAGATTTTTATATGCACAAGGTGTCTGACAACAGCCAGTGCTCCACACAAAGATCTGATCACACCATGATCCAGTCTGTCTGGATTTACATGGAGAATCAGAAACTGAGACAGACTTAAGATAGAACTGTGGCAACATCTCCAAGACATTTAAATAAACCTTCCTACAAAGCTACCTGAAAAAAAAAATGATATGCAAGTGTACCTAGGACAAAAGCTGTTTTAAACAAAAGGTGTGGTCACACCAAATGTTGATTAGATTTAGTTAATATATAAGTTAATTGCTAAATCAAATCTACTTATGGCTTTATTTTTTAAAAGCATCCTCACTTTACAGCATTTTTATGCCTACAACTTTTCACAGTACTGTACCTTTGCAGGAAGGTTTCTTCGGGTGTCTTGGAGACATTGCCACAGTTCTTGGACTTTTGCACAGTACTGTGTGTGTGTGTGTGTGTATATATATATATATATATATATACATATATAGCACTGAATTTTAAGCAGTGCTATCAATGTTATATTGTAATATTTCTGTGTTTTTTTCAGGATTATTTGATTAATAGGAAGTTCAAATAACATATAGGAATGTCGCTTATGGACGTACTGCACTTTTCCAAGTTTGTGGTATAATATAATTTTTTTGGTAGGTTTAGTTGCCTAGATCTGATCAGCTCTTTGGAGTTTATTTGCTAGTTTTTGGTCTGCTTTCAAAGACACAGGCTCCCCTTTTCATTTGTCCGACTTGATTACAAATAACAAAAGAAAGTAATAAATTCTGAGTGAATCTTTTGTCATGTAAATGATGGAACCGTTCGCCTCACACAAGAGCGGT